ATGATGATGGTAATAATAATGATGATGGTAATAATAATGATAATGATAGTAATAATAATGATGGTGATGATGAAGATGGTAATAATAATGATGGTGATGATGATGATGATGATGATTGTAGTAATAATGGTGGTGACGATGATGATGGTGGTAATAATGATGATGATGATAGTAATGATGATATTGATGGTGATGCTGATGTTAATGATAATGGTGATGACCAGCATATAGTATGTGATGTGTTTTTGCGATCTTACCCCGATGTGACACAGCCAACTTTGTTGTTGTCCTCAGGGGGAGGTGGGGCCTCCTGGTCTGTCTGGACATGAAGGCTCCTGGGGAGCCCTTGGAGACAATGGAGAGAGGGGTCCAAAAGGAGAGAAAGGCCACATTGGGCTCATGGTAAACATTTGATTCCTAATGTCTTCTTACAAATGTATGTCATACATTTGTACTGATCTGTTTGATATATTTAATTATGATCAGAAATCTCTAAATATACTTCATATTCTATGTCATTTCACTTGTAGCTCTGTAATGAGTCCAGTCATATTGCACTGGTCAATTACAAGACAATGTATATACTTAATGATCACTATTTTGAACAGGGTGAGCCAGGGCTGATGGGTAAATTAGGTCCTGCCGGTCTGGCTGGTTTACAGGTGAGTGGCATCGTCCTGTCTTTGTCTTTGACCTGACCTTCTGACATTCATGTCTTTGGTTTCAGTTCGTCTTGTTTCGACAGTGACCCAAAAAACTAGATTTTCTTTTTAATTCTCTGTGTTTTTAGGGAAGCACCGGCCCACCTGGACCTGTTGGACCGGATGGTCCTCAGGGTCAGAAGGTATAAAAATGTGTTACGCTTATTATGACAGTTGCTGTTAGACTTTAACCAGATTTATTTCATGGAGTAGTTCTTTTTCATTCATTTCTTTAGGGGGAGTCTGGGACTTTAGGACCTATTGGGCCACCTGGTCCAGGTGGACCACAGGTGAACTGATGTCCAGTAAACATCCTTCAGACAGCACCTAATATGTTCTGTAATTATAACCTTGACTTTGGTGACACTTACAGGGAATCAAGGGTGTCCGTGGTGTTAAAGGAGACACAGGAAGAGTTGGACCGACTGTGAGTAAAACATCATCAAGAGTGACACATCCATGGGAGGCGTTTTTCTGTGTGTATGCCAACGTACTCTCTAGCTCTGATTGGCTCACACAGATATTATATCCTCAGCAGTCATAATCACTTCATAAATGGGCATTAACGTTAAGGAAAAGTTACACAAGAACACATGAAGCAGTCCGTCATTAGTAACAGACGCTCTGAAGGAAGAGCAGTCTTTAGTAACAGACGCTCTGAAGGAAGAGCTGTCCCAGTGGTGCATCAAACAAAAACAAACCAAAACAACAAAGTTGACACTTTGAAATGACTGTAGCGGAATTCCTCTGATGTAATGCTGGAGCAGCTACATAATCAGAACAGATCCTTCTGTCTGTCCTGGATGATGAAACTGTCACCAAGACCTGAATACTGAATGGAGTGACTGGAGATGTGAACATGTGACCAGAGCTGATATATGTGTCTCTGTTGTTCCTCTTCTGTCAGTGTCAATGTAACAATGTCATTAACTACCCGTCGACTCAACTTTAATTTAATTGTCAAATTGGTTGATGTTATAACTATCATTTTACCTTTACGTTCGATGTGCCACCTTCATGATAGGGACCAGCAGGACTAGCGGGTCCACAAGGAGACCAGGGGAATAAAGGGGAACTAGGCCCACCTGGACTAAAGGGAGACCCCGGTGCTCCAGGTCCACCTGGAGAGCAGGTCAGTGTTGACTGGTCTAGACATAAAATTCTAAATATGATGAGGTAAGCACACTCCGTATTAATATATACTGCATATATTAGTACTATTTGCATTTGGCTGTGTGCAAATATCCATAGGTCTGACTTAATTATATTGATCCCCTCTGCAGGGGGAGGAGGGTCTCTCTGGAGTTCAAGGTCCTCCAGCTCTCCCAGGGTTGGAGGTAAAAAAACTGAAACAACGGCTGCAGCTGAATCCAGCATTTCTAATGCTAACTTTCCTCAACACTGCTGACACTGCATGTTTTTGTAGGGGCCTCCTGGGGAGATGGGACCACAGGGTCCTCCAGGTGCAATGGGCGCAGATGTGAGTACGATTTCATCATTTGAATCTCTTGGACTCTTTGGGACTTGTCATGTGTGCACAGTGTTATAGATGAAGGAAGTCAGTCGTTTTTCTATGAACATTGTTGTTGTGTTTCACAGGGAGAACCAGGCAAACCAGGGTCTGAGGGGAAACCAGGTGAAAATGGAGAGAAGGTAAAATGATTTTAATATTAAGTCCCAGGAAGGTTGGGTGTTAATGGCAGTCATTACATAAATGATCCTTCAGTCTGCAGGTACCGCAGTAGAATGGGTCTGTTTTGAGGAAGGGCAGTCATATCCTGCTGAGATTAGTGACTGACTATGAAGTAGACCTGTGTTAATAATGTTAATGATGTCACCTTGTGTCAGTCTGAACCAGTTTGTTTTCTCACAGGGGGATGATGGTCTGAGTGGATCTCCAGGGAGGCCTGGTCTGACTGGCAGGAGGGTAAGAACATTGTTCTTAAAATTAAAAAATACCGTCATTTCTGTACTATTAAGTGCACCTGAATATAAGACACACCCACTAAATTTAAAAAGAAAAATATAATTGTACATACAAAGGCCGCACTTCTCTATAAACCACAGGTGTCCACCTTGTAACATGGGATATTTACACAGAAAGATTTCTTTTGGCTGGTTACACTTTAGCTCTTTTCTGCCTCAGAGCCCCAACCGTAGTAGGGATACACAGGGCAGACTTGACCTGCTCCAGGGCTGAAGCTAACATTAGCTTTGAGGCTAACTCCCTTCACTTTGTGCTTGTCAACAGCAGAGGTAAAGAGAAACAGTGAAGTTGGGGTCAACAACAGAACATAAACAAAGTTTTAACAGCTCCTGTATAACCAACTCACGCTTCAACATGACAGGGGCTCAGACTGCTCTCAACTTCAGATACCGTTCTCTCTCGCACACGCCCCACGCACATTTACGCCCACATACATTCACTGAGAGACATACGCTACTAGTATAACACACAGTAGCCTACCAAAATAATCATTGATCGCTAGCGGTATGAATTTTGTTAGCTTGTAAAAATCCATAAATTAGCCGCATCATTGTTTAAGCCGCAGGGTTCAAAGCGTGTGAAATAATTAGCAGCCTATGGTCTGGTAAGTAAAAAATATTTGATCAAACTGATGTTATTTATCTTCATTATATCTGTGCTAACTATTCCATTGCTTCCTATAGAACAAATACAGGTAAACATTACAATGATTTCTACCTGAGCTTGTGTATAGTCATTCTGGAGGACCAACTGTAGTTGTAATACCAAGTTGTTCGTTTTTATATATTTATCTTTAAGGTTAAGTTTAAGATAAAAGTTTGTTAATGTTGTCATCAACTGTGTGTGCGTGTGTCTTTTGTCATTAAAACATGACGCACTCTTCCGCAGGGTAAACGGGGGAGGGCTGGACTTCGAGGAACACGAGGAGAGAGAGGACCAAAGGTGAGAACGGTGAAGCTCAGAGTTCTTCAACGTCTGCTACAGTCGGTCGTGTTGTTTGGTGATAGCATGTGATGTCATTCAGGGAGAAAAAGGCGAAACAGGACCAGAGGGTGTCCATGGTTGGCCAGGTCTTATTGTAAGTCCATGTATTAGTCCACTTTACACACATTCTGCTGATTTCCTGATTTCCACATTCTCTCATCTAAACCTGGTTTGTCTGTCACCAGGGAATCCCTGGGTCACGTGGAGAGTCAGGAGAAAACGGTGAAAAAGGAAAAGAGGTAACAAAAAATAAATCCTTTTTAATATATATTCGTATATGTACTGTATATATATATGTTTATATATATTCACATAAATATATATACCAAAGGAAATATTTAATAGAATTCAGAGTGACTTTGACTTTAATTCAACAGAATTTAAGGACTAGTAATGATACTAACTGAGTTGCAACGTGAAACTTTTATCAAGTTTAACTGATCGTTAATATTAACAGGGAGAAAAGGGTGACATGGGAGTGCCAGGACCACCTGGAGGTGATGGCACAAAGGTAGAGATAGTTGATATTTTTCAAGTTTGATATAGAAAACTGGACGTTTTTTCCTGCTTCATCCACAAGAAACCAAAACCTACCTTATAATAATCACGGTGTGTTCCATTTCAGGGAGTCCGTGGTTCTGTTGGATTACCAGGTCCAGGTGGCCCAAAGGGAGAACAGGTTCCACACATCTCTCCATTTAGGATTGGAATTAGGATGGAACTTTATCTACTTGATGAGATGATACTTGGGACGTTGAAGTTTAATGACCGTATATGTTCTGTTCATTCAGGGGAGTATCGGTCCCTCAGGGCCAAGAGGTCAACCAGGGATGCCTGGTCTGCCTGTAAGTTTTCAATTAACATTATTATGACAATTTTTAATTCCATCTGCAGCAAGTGTCAAATTATTTGTACTCTTACTCTTTAGTCCAGGCATGGGCAAACTAAGGCCCAGGGGTCAGATGCGGCTGGTTCAGCTTTTTAATCTGGCCCACCAAACTTTTCCAAATTATATATGTAATTTATCCATTTTCCATCCATCCATTTTCATCCGCTTATCTGTTACCGGGTTGCGGGGGCAGCGGTCTCTATGACCGCCAACCAAATCACATCGCACCGTACCAATTCCCCTAAACCAACCTACTGGAAAGTACCAACCACCCTAACCAGGATTCGATCTTGCCCAGGAGGTGAACCCTGGGCTTCCACAACATTGACAGAGACATTGCCCCTGGGCCAAAGCACCGCTATGTCATTTATTTATATATTATATTTGTGGCCGGCGAGTCATAAAGTTTGCCCACGCCTGTTTTAGTCACTTAAATACTTTACACCACAGTAAATGTCACCTTAATGTTTTCTCTTCCCCCCCTCCGCCTCCCCCTCAGGGTCTGTTTGGATTAAAGGTATGAAATCATTAACTGACACTCACCTGATTATTGATTATTTATTATTAAGCTGTAGTTTCTTCCTAATAAAGCAGTTGAATTGTGTAAAGAATCTTCATGTTCATGTGGCTGTAGTTGATGTTTGGATCTTAATGAAGCAGACTCACTTGTTCTCATTGGTTTCCAGGGTTTGAAAGGGTACCCTGGTTCTCCTGGTCAACCTGGAAGGAAGGGCCTCCCGGTGAGTCCCTGAAGCAATTCCACAAATGAGAAGTTTTGCTCTGCGGTGTGAAACAAAACGTGAATTCTCCGATAGTTAAAGACTTGAGACGTGGTCTCATGAAACTCTAATCAACTTTGGTTGAGGAAGATGAACTGTACGATCATTCAGAAGAACATAATAATTCAATTAACATATCCCCATATCAAAACACCAAACTTAAATCAGGAAAGGATTTCAAAGTTGGACGGAGTGTGAGTGTGAGTGTGAGAACAGACCATCATGTCAGGACCAGGTAAAACTGTGTCCAAAATCTAACAATAATTCAGTCAAACACTGCCATTTAGATTCAAGAGTTGGTCCGGGACAACCTCAGAGTGACATCACTGAATGTCTCCTTACTGCTACTGTAGTACTGTTACTACTACTATTACTGCAGTACGAGTAATGCAGCTAAGGTTAGCAGTACTTATACTACTATACAGTGTATTTATATACATACAATATACTGTATATATACATATATATGTGTATATATGTATATACTGTATATATATATATACATATATATATATATTTGAACGTTTATTAGACTTGTTTTTGTTCAAACTCTTGTTCTAGGGACCTCCAGGTGTTCCTGGACCTCCTGGAGTATCACTGAACATTACTCTGACTCAACTCAAGGCAAGTATTTTGGGTTTGTTTGTTTTTTTGTTGGTTTTTTTTAACCTTAGTCCCAGTAGAGTGTAGAATATCATAGTGAAGCAATGACATGACATTTCTCTCCATCTTTTACTGTGTTGTATTTGTCCTCCCTGTTTAGGACCTGATGTACCTGTCAGACAAACCCAACTACCCTCTGATCCAGACTGTGCTGGACTCTCTGCAGCAGGAACTGCGCCTGCTGCTGGATCCTCCAGATGGCAGTAAAGAGCATCCAGCCACGACCTGTCTTGAGCTGTGGCTGTGTCGCCCTGAGTACAGCAGCGGTAGGTTTATAGTAGTAGTAGTGGATTTACTGAAGTTTCAGCTTTATAAAATATTATATAAAGTTCACCTTTGCAAACAGAACACTGATGTACCAGTGTTTATTAAGGTGAGGCTGGTTTGTCCCGCAGACCCAAACCTCTGAAACTGAACTCTCTTCTCGTTCACGCTGGTCTCTGCAGGAATGTACTACATTGATCCAAACCAGGGCAGTGTTGCTGACGCTCTGCTGGTATACTGCAGCTTTTCCTCCATCTCTGTCCAGACCTGCCTCCACCCTCGGGATTCACAGGTACTTCAAACGTCAGCGCAAAACTTTAAGGCGAAACATTGCATCTTTGAAGTTTGTTTGTAGAAGAACTGAGGCCAACTCTGGGTCTGCAGTGACAGCAGTTTCTCAGCAGCATCAGATGCTGCTGCTGTCAGTGAAAAACAGAAGGAACACCAGTGAAACAGAGTCCAGGTCAGCTGAGGTCTGAAGGGACGCTCAGGAGTAAATCATCATTGGTCCATGACCAGACGTTAATCTGTCATTTCTCAGACTTTATACTATATTATTATTTATTACAGACACATGACTCTGAATATGCTGTTGCACTCTGGAAAAGCAGTATTTGTATTCATGAATGTGCTCGTCTGTTACAAATCAAACATGTTTTTTTTCCACAGCTGCCAATTAAAGCTTGGATGAAGGAGATGTCAGAGGACGGAACGTTTGAGTGGCTTAGTCAGATGGAGGAGGGCTTTCAGGTGAGTCATTCTGCTGATTGGCTGATGAACGTGACATCACTGAAGTCATTAAAACAATCAGATTCATGCAGTTTGTGGAGGAAAAGGTAAAAGGATATCCATCCATTCTGAAGTCATTAAAACAATCAGATTCATACAGTTTGTGGAGGATTCATCCTCCACAAACATCCATGTGACTTTCATCCCACGTTCACATGTTGAAAGACAGTGTTGATGGACCGCGTGAACCTCATAGTGTAGATAATGAGTGTGAATGTGTGAACTCAGTGACAGTTCATAAATCAGCTTTGACTCAGTCTAAATCAAATCACTGCTGTTTGACGTGATGTCAACGTCTCTACGGACGCTGGCGCTGAAGATGGTACAGTTCATCAAGTGAACATTCTCCTATTCCTGCTCAGTTCTACTATCCAGGAGCTAATGTGGTCCAGATGAGGTTCCTGAAGTTACACAGCAGCACCGCGATCCAGAAGGTGACCTACTCCTGCCACCCGGGACACGAACTGGGTGAGACAGACAGAGACGTCAAATTCCTCACTGACACCAGGAAGCAGAGTTTTCTGGGTTCTCTCAAAGACTGTGTGGTGCGTATCTCACGCTCTTCACCCTATAATAAACTAATAATAATGAACAAATACGCTGTATGATGTCAATCTTATGTTCCAGCCTGCAGAGGGCGCTGTTTCCAACCTTCAGGAGTCTGTGTTTGAGTTTGAGGACCTTCACCTCCTTCCTCTCAGAGACTTGGCTCTAATGTCAGGAGGAAACAGCGACACCTATCCCTTTGGCTTCACTGTGGGTCCAGTGTGTTTCAGCTAGAGGTGCCAAAGAGTGTGTCGCCCCAGAAGACTCACATTGTCCAGGGACACACACCTTGGACACGGAGAGGAGAGCGGGGAAAAAAGGAAAACGGTTCTTCCTTCTCTTCCTCTTGTATCATGTTGACTGAGTGACTCCTCATCGGTGACTCTAGGAGGACACCAGGGCTTGTCCTCACAGAGAAGTCACATCTGTTTACAGAGACATTTATCTCACAATGAATAATTTAAAAATGTACTTTTTTTTTGTAACCTTTTTGTTATATATTCGGGGCTCGTTTGTAAGAGCAGGCCATTTCAGTGGCTCTAAAGGGATAGTTCAGGTTTTTTTTCTTCAACCTTGTTCATCGCTCTAAAGGGATAGTTCAGGTTTTTTTCTTCAACCTTGTTCATCTCAGAGACAGTGCTGCTCTTTCCTTTTGTTAAGGTGATGTTCACACAAGAACCTCAGAGAAAGTTAATTGTGTCGGTGTCACACGCAGATCCAGCTGCCAAAAAACATCGAGTGTGGTTTTAACAATGTGTCCTGGACGGGAATACAGCTCCTGTCCTCTCATTGGTTAATTTCTCATATCTGGTGCTAATCAAATACAATAATTCAAAAAAAGTCAGACATGTAAATTTGCAGTACATACAGTCCTATCAGTAGTACAGTGCTCTTTCTTAATATTGTACTTCACATCTCAGGTACATTATATTATATGTGGTGTCGGTCAGTTTATGTTTAGCAGTAACAGGACAGGAATAGTTTAGAATCCTGGTTCTATAGTATGCTGGAACAGTTGGATGTTTTATAGTTGCCAAGATTAGAAATCCAGATGGACACGTCAAGGGAAAGACATTAATAAGCCCACTACGAAACAGACAGTTCTGCTTTATATAAGACTGTGAGAAAGAGCAACACAAAATATTTTAAAAAAACAAAGATGACAAAATGTCCTTTATAAAATAAAACTACAGCTTTTACTTGGACGTAGTGACTCGTTGACTTCTGAAGATTCAGCCACAGTCAGTGTCGGCACTGAAATAAAACAGTGAGATCCTGTTTTGGTCCTTCAAGGAAAGCACAATGTTGACGCATTTTTAAGCTAATCAGTAGATAAATAAAAATGGAATTGGTTTGGTTTAAAAAAAAAAAAACACCCCCCATGGGTCATTTCCTGTAATCCCCATCGATATAAAATGTCTTAATTAATCAACTGCGTCTTTGATTAACTTTTTTTGCTGTGGGAGGGGAGGTGTCTTGTTATCTTTATCTGTTTCTTTTTCTTCTTTTTTTTGTCAGTATATTGCCACTACAAAAATCCTGAATTATCCCTTTATCGTCAGGGTGCAGACTCAGATTGAAGGATTAATTCAGTTCACTTCTGTTATTGTCTTGTAAAACAAACGTGTCTGCCCACAGAGCAACACTGTAATTATTTGTTTTAGTGTACTGTAAAGGTCTTTTACATCTTTTCAGCCGTGAAGTGAAAGCACCAGAGTCACCAGCACTTTTCTGATGGAAGAAGAAAAAGTGCCCGGTCCTACAGTTCCTGCTCTACACTGAGTAATTGCTCCTGGACGTTGAACTCACCGGTACTTCATCTAATCAGAGAAGTGCTTGTGTCCAGAGAAAGTGCTCACGGCCTCGTAGCTTCTCAACAGAATCTGGATTTCAGCATTTGTGTCTCAGAGCCACAGTCAGCAGTGGTGCAGTGGAAACAGTAACTTCTCAGGGAGTGTGTTCTTAGCTTCATATTACCTGCCTCTTTAAACTGTAAAAAAAAAACAAAAAGCAAACAAAAACACAACAACAAATGAAACACATCACCTTTAACGTCAACCTCATCACAAGTCTTCATCTATGAACTCATCTCCCTGTCTCTAGTTTTGTGTTTATTGTGTATATTTACGTTTCCTCGTATCCTGTTTCCATCCACGTGATGGCCTTAGTTGACTAAGACAAATCATTGTTAGTTTGCTGCAATCTGTCAAATGACATGCTGGACATCTGCGTCGTATGATATGAGTCAGCTCTGTTGAAAACAGAAGACATTACTGAGGAACATGACCTCGTGGTTCCGTTAACATCACCGACTGAAAGCAGTCAACATGAAATTCAAGAGTTTAAGTGACTATAATGTCAAAAACATCAAACAAACTGGTGATGAACACAGAACATATATTCTGTGGCACAATAAAAATCAAGTTCAATAAACTAATTTTATTTGATTCTGTCTATGTTTTCATTATAAGACTAATGCTGACATCAAATACAAGAAAGCCTTGTGATGGAAACAATGGTAGAATAATGAATTACTAAAGTTATTATATGTACAAAAACAAAGTTTTCCAGGTCCCAGCATGATAAATGGACAAGGATGTGACGAATATAACGATAGGACACATTTGGTCAAAGTGTTTTCCTACACAGATTAGGAAACCACCTTAACTGGGTAAGTAAATACTAAGCGGAAATTGAGACAAGAACTCATTAACAATCATCACTCGTCTTATTGGATTGTTGTAATACTAAAAAAAATATTTAAAATGCTAGCAAATATTTCTGTGTAGCCCGATAGTTAACTTTTGTGTATGTTTATTAAAGTTTTACATTATATCACATTTTTCCGGAACTGTAATGTCCAATTCATATTGAACGCAGCAATAGCAAATTTAGCCCTGTTCCCAACAACAGGCCGCTTTTATGCAGGACGATTACACTGCATTGCTCTTGTTGTCTGTGAATTTTTTTAATGTGTTACTTTTTCTCTCTCTCTCTCGTTTTTCCGACTATATAGCTAGTACTTAAATGCACCACACTACGCCTTGCACGTGGACACGTCACATGACGCACAGTCCCGCCCACAGGTTATTTCCTGCATATTTCTTTGGAATGATGCTAACTGTGGCTAACTCTTACTGCGGTTTATCTGTTGGTTAAAACGGTTTTGAACGTCAAATTTTCGTTTTTCTTCCTTGGCCTGTTTTTCATGTTTACGTGTTTGGAGGCGCCCCCTGTCGTTCATTTACAGCGGACCACAACAGCAAGCTAATGTTGGCTAACATTTGTAGCTGTCAAAAAGGTTTAACGTTGCTGTGACGGAGGTGAACGGACACAGGTGCGTGTTTTTGAATCATGACTGAAAAATGTTATCGCTATTTAAGCAACACGACTATTATTGCAATCGTGAGTATCGGTTATCGATTAAATATGATGCAACACACTTAATAAATGTTGCGCAGCTCAACAACATACAGTCCTAGACATTTGTTTTGACTCACTCTGAGGTGCACTTGCCTTTTAGTTTCTTGTTATGAATCCTACACCATAAGATATTACATTTTGTTATTAAAATGATAACATTTTAAATAAATTTGGTTTCATGTGAGCAACATTAAGTCTCCTGTTTTCAAACCTATTCTCTTGACTCAGAGTCCCAATTGTGGTAAGAACAATTTGAAGCAGAGCTACAGTATGAATCCCTCCAGAAAGTAGTGAACACACACACACGGTTGTTTTTTTTTTTTTTTTCTTCAAACAGCTTCCATCATCTACAGTCATTTCTGTTCCTGATTAGAGATGTATACACCTTCTCGAAAAGAATACATCTCCGTGACAGTCAGAGACCCTCACAGTCACTGCTACAACAACGGCAAACACCGCCGGCAGTCTTGCTGGAGGGTGAGTATGAACTTTGACTATGGAGCTATTGAACCATGACATATAGTACCTAAATGTTTTAAAACATAACTATACAACAGGCTGTAGGTGACTGTGTTGCTGCAGCAGCATGTGGTCTGTATTATGAAACAAATGAGACATTTTATGCTATATCTTTGGCCAGCTTGTGAAAGAAGTGGTCCTTGCCTTACAAGGAAGAAATATTAACAGTTTGATCCCAGGTTTCCTCCAGGTTTCATTTTAAAACTAGGGCCAGAAATGAATGGCCTTTCAGCTGGATCCTTGTTGTACCTTGTGGAAATTGCCGTGTTCTGTTGAAGTAAAGTGCAATATGTATTTTTTTCTCTTTTTGTCCTCTATGTCCTCTCCTGACGATGCGTCTGTAGAAGTGGAAGCAGCTGTCTCGACTCCAGCGAAGCCTCATCCTCTTCCTTCTCGCTCCGTTGCTCATTATCGGAGCTCTTTTGTTTCCCAGCATCACAGAGCAGTGGGCAGGTAAACAGCTCCAACCACAACCTCCAGTCAGTCTGAGTTTCCTCCACCATCACATGAAGACATTGTCAAATATTATGTTTGGTCCATTAACCAAGTCTATTCCTCCCCCCATCCCCTCTCTTTGTTGTTGTTTTGTACAGGCCTGTCTGACAGTGAACACTGGCTGCAGCACAGAGATCTGCCTCCAGGGGTCAATCCTGTACTGGGTCCAGCTGCTGCTGAAGGTCCTGCTCCTGTGGCAGGTCCACGTGTGGGACCGGTGAATACTCCGGATGATTTTGCAGAACCCAGAGGACCAAATGTGCCAATGTTGGCTCGACCTCCAATTAAGGGTCAGCAGTTGTTTTGAAATATGTTTTGATGATTGAGACTTCCACGGGTGTGATGACAATTTTTTTTATCAGAAACTTATTTTGGAGCCATATGGTTTTTTTTCATGGTCACATGTTTGTTCACCTTCAATATTTGTTTCTTTTACCACCTTTTAGTCGTAGCTGTTTTTTTTCTTCACAGAAACGACCTGTTGAGAGTAGCAGAGGTCCAGCGGGTCTGCACAGAGACGGCAACATGTCTGACACAGGTGCCAAGGGTGGAGGAGACGGAGGACAGGGCGAGGGCACAGAGAAGAAGGTTGTCAGGTGATCTGTTTATTTGAGACAAAGAAGAGCAGACGGAATGTTTCTGCTCAGACAAGGACGACGTTCCTTCAGCCACAGACAGCTGTCAAGTCGGATTTACTGACTTTTCCCTTCTGTTCCAGCAGCTGGAGAGGAGCCATGATTGAGGCCGAGCAGGTCACAGAGGTTCCACCCTCTGCTGATGGTAAAGAAGCCGCAGCGCCCCCTTCTGACTTATTGGAAGGTTGGTCCAAACTTTTGACTCACAATAGCTACAAAGTTGTTCTGAGAACTGGGACCCCACTCTGACTTCAGCTATATCTTCATGATGGATCCATAAAACAGCTGCTTGGTGAAATGACCTTAGGTGCCAAGAGGATGTCGCGACGTTCAGACTGAGTCAAGAAGACAGAGTTGTTAAAGAAACTGTGTTTGTTCTACGTGAGTTATTATTTTCTCACCAGTCCTAAGACTTTCAGTCAACAACACTGTCTGGTGATGTCACCACACCCACTTCATCTTTAAAGTCACATGTAAGCACATAGGTGTGTGTCTGTGCAGAAATACACAGATATCAAGTATCGGTCCAAAGGTTTTTAAAAGTTTTTAACTGAACCTTCAAAAAGGAAGGTTTTTAAATCTGATCAACTGCTACATTTTTTAATCAAACTCAAATAAGAAACCTGTTAAATGACTGAAGCTCATCAAGGGGTTTGGATCTAGAACCCTCTGAGGTTTTATTTTGCATTTCTTTGAAGAAACGTTTGAAGGAAGTGTATTTCAGTCCTAAGACCAGACAAAGAAGCAAGCTGTGACCCGGTCACCCTCCAGAATTGGAAAGAGAAGACATTCTCTGAGAGCAGACTGAGACATGGAGGAGAGGAGGTGATCTGGGATTTTCAAAGATTCCCGAAATGGAAGATCAGATCAAACATACTTTTGTGCATGTGCCGAACAACGTGCACTGAAATCTAATAATAATTCCCCCCCTCCATCCACTAGTTGTTACTCTAATACAGAGTATATACACATAATTTGTGTCCATCCTGTAATACTCAACTCAACTCCCAGTTTGTGTCAGTGGAGGCTTCGACCTCAGGTCAGGGTGGTGAGTTTTTATTTAACTATTAATTATTATATTTCAGTATATTGTATTACATTACATCATATTGTATTATATTATATATTGTCATGTTGAGTAGTGTTGATTACCTCCTTTAGGGCATTGATGTAATCCTGAACCCTGTAACCTGAATATTTCATAGAGGAAGTCATCAGTTGTGCTTAGAACACAAAGAGAGTGTGTACTGTCAGGGTGTTCAGTACTGTTCAGTACCACTCTGTGGTTTGTATTTCTTTTAGAGGGATCAGACAATGAACTAAGACAATAAGAACTTTTATTTTTACACATAAAGACTTTTTTTTCTAAATTTAGACAGCAGGTTAGAACTTGTGGGGTTCCTGAATAAAGGTTCATGGATCGAGTTTTTTTTCCTTAGGCTGCTGTATGATCTTTAAAGTGAGGATTCTTTTTTTTAATTCACTCTCTGAACTCCTCAGTCTGTCTGCTCAGGGACAGGATCATGTGACCGTGTCTCTGACTTTAATCACTGCTCACAGCTTCTCCCTGCAGCAAACGACGACTGCAAAAGACCTTTACTCTGACCAGGCCTTCAGTTCTTACTCAGTCCTCTGTGTCTCTGTGTTGACTAGTGGACAGACTGGAGGTGGTACGAGACGCCTTCAGACACGCATGGAAGGGTTACAAGAGCTACGCCTGGGGCCACGATGAGCTCAAGCCAATATCAAAGACCTTCGGAGAGTGGTTTGGACTGGGTCTGACCCTCATCGACTCCCTGGACACCATGTGGATCATGGGACTCAAAGAAGGTGTTGTACCTGAAGCACTCCCCAAATCTTACACCCCAATGGATGTCTTCGTCTTCTCTTTCTGTGTCTCACGTTCGGACTCTGGTCTGATTCAACTTAGAGTTTGAGGAGGCCAAGCAGTGGGTAGAGAAGGAGCTGTCCTTCGACAGGAACGTGGATGTGAATCTGTTTGAGACCACCATCAGAATCCTGGGCAGTCTGCTGAGCACGTTTCATCTGACGGGACAGCAAATCTTTCTGGAAAAGGCTGTGAGTTTCTGCACAACACAGATATAAAACGTCAAACAAAATGAAAGGTTTAAAGTTGGTTTCACTCCGACATCAGTGTCAAAGATGGTTCATTCAGAAAATTGGGGTTAAGCTAACTGTTTAAGCTATGATTTGGCAAATTTTATTGTCCAATTTTAAGTACTGTTTTGGAAACTTTTATCAAATTTTCTTGTGTTTTGGCTGAAGTTTTGTTATGATGTTTTCTTTTCTTTTGAGCATTTTCAGTCTGTTTCATGAAAACTAGAGTTAGTTATACTGAGAGTTAGTGTTAGGAGTAATTGGAGTTTGTTGGAGTTAGAATCAGTGTTAGAGCTAGAGATAGAGTTAGTAAGCGTTAGTTAATCAGATATGGTTAGCACAAGGGTTGTTAGAGTTAGTTAGCATTAGAGTTAGTCAGAGTTAGAGAAAGCAAGAGAGTTAGTTTGAGTTAAAGTTGGAGTAAGGGTTAGTTAGAGTTGGAGTGGGGATTTGTTAGATTTGGTGGGTCAGGGTTAGTTAGTGTTGTTGGGTTAGGATTAGGGTGGGTTAGTGTTGGTATGTCCACTAAGCTTCAAAAGTTGAACACAGCAGCTTTAACATCCTTCTAAAAGTGTGATGTTTGTGTGTTTTTGATCTCCTGCTCCCTTCAAAGAAAGACTTGGGCTCCAGACTGATGCCGGCCTTCAAGACCCCCTCAAAGATCCCCTATTCTGATGTCAACATTGGAAAAGGAACAGCTCACCCTCCTCGCTGGACCACAGACAGTACGTTAGCTGAGGTGACCAGCATCCAGCTGGAGTTCAGGGAGCTGAGCCGCCTCACCCAGGACCCTCAGTACCAGGTCTGGAAACTGACACAGTCTGAAGTTGTCTTGAATTGTACAACTATATATTATCATCACTTGTCAAGTGAAGCCGCCATCTTAACAGGAGCTTCAAGACAAAACAGTGTCTGGAAATGTGATCGTCGAGTTTTTTTTCCAGTAACAAATTATACAAAAGTAAAGAATGGAGAGTCACATGATCGTCAATGGACGTGCCTGTAGTTCCTCTGCCAATGTGATGACGTCGTTAAGCTGCTCGTCGACTTGACTTTGACTTCAGTGTCAGAGTAGTTTTTATATATATATATATATGTATATATATATATATACACATATATACATATATATACATATACATACATATACATATATATATATATATATACACATATATATATATACACATATATACATATATATACATATATATACATATATATACATATATATACATATACATACATATACATATATATATATATATATATACATATATATATACATATATACACATATATACATATATACATATATATATATATACATATATACACATATATACATATATATACATATATACATATATATATATATATACACACATATATATATATATATATATACATATACACAGCAGATACAGCAAGTAAAATACATTTTGAGCACCCCACCATTTTTCTCAGTAAATATAGGTTGTCACCAACATCTGGTGGAAATGTCATGACAAGAGCACCTTTACAATTCTAATTAATAAGAAGACCGATGTGTTCAATACTTGTCTACTTTATCTGCTGTATATGTATATTCATATTCAAATATGTATACCCAGCTGTAACCCTTGTGCCAATGCATTCACGACATATATGTATAATAATATTTTTACATTTTAATTTTGTCTGGAGGTAATTTCAAATAAAGACAATAATAAAAAATAAAAAAATCCGTAAAAAATAATTTGAAAAATGTAATGTGTTTGAATTCTCAGGAGGTCGTGAACGAGGTGACCAAACTGGTCCATAAGCTGCCAGGGAAACACGACGGCCTGGTACCGATGTTCATCAACACCAACAGTGGTCAGTTCAGCCACAGAGGGGTTTTCACACTGGGGGCCAGAGCAGACAGTTACTATGAGTATCTGCTGAAACAGTGGCTGCAGGGAGGAAAAACTGAAGACCAGTACGTAGACCTTTAGAGAACCAACGGAGCCACATGTACTGCATGTGTTGGTGTATCAAGGTGACTATGTCATATCTCTCTGTGTGTGTGTCTGTGTGTACAGCCTGTTGGAGGACTACCTCCAGGCTGTGGATGGAGTGAAGAAACACCTGATCAGACAGACGGGTCCCAGTAAACTGACTTTTGTTGGAGAGCTGTCTCACAACCGCTTCAACCCCAAGATGGTCAGTGCTGCGAGCATGTGACGTTGTGAAGATGTGAAACCAGAACTTTTATATCTGACACTAAAATCTAAGCTCAGCCTTGTTCTCCTCTTCACCAGGATCACTTGGTCTGTTTTCTACCTGGAACCCTAGCTCTGGGATTCCACAACGGTCTCCCTGGAGACCACATGGACCTGGCGGTGCAGCTGATGGAGACGTGTCATCAGATGTACAAACAGATGGAGACTGGGCTGAGCCCAGAGATCGCACACTTCAACCTGCAGGCCAGTGACACAAGTGATGTTTATGTCAAGGTAAGTCCATGTATTTGTGTTTTCTAACCCAAAGTCAACGATTAGATACTTAAAAAAAAAAGTTTAATGTTGTTTCATTCAAATCTAAAAATCGAATCCTGCTAGACCTTGGAAAACTCAGGCCTGTGTACCTGATACAGCGCTTTCAACCGTTCATTGTGGCCCCTCAAACATTAGCACAACCCTGTCTAAATTATGCTAAACACTGTGTTCCAACCGCTTGAATTTTGGCTTCAGGCTTCATTACCTTGCTTTCAACTTGAAACTACACAGTTTTGACATCATAAAACTCTTCCTCTTCCACCGCAGTCCATTGGACAAAAACCACATTTTTTTATAAAAACAAACAGAAATTTAAGTTAACAAACTGCTGCCCCCAGTGGTGAGTTAAAAATGTCATTCAGTAGCTTCAGTGTTGAGGTGTTTTTATTTTGGACCCGAATATCAGTGCCTCCTACTGGTGTAGTGGAGCAGCAGCTCCTGCGTCTCTAATTTAATTCTAATTAAATTTTTTATTTAATTAGAATGACCTGTTTTTTCTTCATCTTTTTTCGTCATACAATTAATCGTGATTAATCACACTTTTTACGGAAAATCTGTTGATCAATTCAAACTTAGTATATAAAATGAAATATAAAAAAAATATATATAAATAAAATATTTACTGTTAACTTAACTTATTTTCAGGCCCCCTCCACTCCCCTTCGACCCACACCCCCGCGTATTGAAATCCTATTGAGAACCTTATAACATGTATATTTTTATCAGTACAAACCACTGTATGAGTTGCTGCCACCTAGTGACTGGAGGCTTGTTATCATTCAAGCATTACAGCAGTGGTACACTTGTGTCCAGCGAGCCATATTCTATTGGAGGCCCATTAATCATAACATTAAAAAAAGAGGTATCAGCAGAAAAATGGGTCTTTTATCACGAAGCAGCATAACCAGTCTATGTTCAGTACCAAACGACCCTGAGGGAGGTGAAGCACAAAAAAAGATTGCTAAGTTTGGGGCAGAGGGTTTTCGCGAAAGGTTAATTATCTTCTTTTCAGGTTCCTGTGAGTGTCGCAGAAGTAAGCAACAGACTTTTACAAAGAAGCCATAGAATTACAGACATTTACAATCGTAAAATAAATAATAAAATCGCTGAGATAACGAATTCATTAATGCATCATTTCTAATTCAAACAAATCTCTCTTCTGCTATGACTGTGTTTGTACTGTGGACCAGAAACCTTTTAACCTTAAACAACTCAAAGCAAGTGTCACTGGAGTTTGGTTTTAAATTGAGCTCGTGAATCTAACCTTGGTGTTCCCGACCTCTGTGTGACCTCAGAGTGCAGACAGACACAATCTGCTGCGTCCAGAGACGGTGGAGAGTCTCTTCTACATGTACAGATTCACCAAGGACAGGAAGTACAGAGAGTGGGGCTGGGAAATATTGCAGAGCTTCAACAAGTACACAAAGGTACACACACACACACTTGCTTGTTTGGTTGATATATTTGTGTTAAAGCCTAGTAAATACCAGTGTTTGTAACAGTTATACTTCTGTTTCCACTAAAATAGTTGTTAATAGAGAGTGACAATAGGACAGAGTCAATTATTAACATATAAATGTTATAATCATTATAATTATCATTACAATGATTATCATCAGTTCCATCATTAAGTTAACCTTAAATGTCACAAACAATGAAAGTAAAAACACATTAAGTTAACCTTAAATGTCACAAACAATAAAAGTAAAACCACACAGTAAAATCAACAGACCAGAACGCAGAAGGACACCACTCCTAATCAGCAGCAACATTTGGTGTCATTAAACTAAAATATAAACACACTTCTATTTTGAAGTTGGCTTAGTATTGGAGCAGCGTGCTGCTGCGACTTGTTCTCTCCACTGAGGAGCTCCGTCATTGGTGTCTCCACCACCACCACCGCTGTGACGTCTCTCTCACTTCACTGTTTCTTCCATGTCTGAAGAAATAAGACATGAAGTTCAGACTTGGTGGTCTTTCGAATACATCGCATGGACGTGTCCCGAGTGTCTGCCTGTAGTCTGAGGTACTCCTCCTCCTCTTCTTCTCCTGCAGGTCTCCAGTGGAGGTTACACCTCTATCAACAACGTTCGCGACCCCGTCAACCCTGGTCCTCGGGACAAGATGGAGAGTTTCTTCTTAGGCGAGACATTGAAGTACCTGTTCCTTCTGTTCTCTGACGACATGGAGCTGCTCAGCTTGGACAAGTACATCTTCAACACCGAGGCCCACCCTCTGCCTATCTGGCCCCCTCCTCCAAAATGACCTCACTAACTGCTGCTGTGGACATGAAGGATTCTCCTGGTCAGATCTTTTGTCAGAGCTGGTCTCTACCATAGGAAGGATTTTTGGTTTGGTTCTCTTTGGAACCACATGGGACCTCATGGTCGTGGTTCAATATCTGGGTGACTGGCAGGGTTTTGTAAAATATGTGAATCCTGGTGCCTTCAGGGAGTTTTTTTTTTTTTCTTAAGCTACAAAAAAAAAAAATCTGGAGGAGCACAAGTAGAATTCTGTCAAAATCACTCAACCTCCATTCCAAGAAGTTGTAAATATATTTGAAAAGTACATAACTTTGTGTGGTACTGCTCGGAGTCATGACCTGTTTGCACTTGTGTCCCGGCTCTGGTCTGTCAGTTCAGGGATCACTTTTACTCCTGGCTCCAAGACCAGAGTTACAGTTAGACTGCAGAGGGCAGCGATGCAACGTTCCACCCGCAGTTCTAGGTCATGAAGAACCAACATTGCACTTTTGCACATGCCTCATTAAATGAAGTAAAGAAAAGAAACGTGGTCAAATGTCATGCACTTCATCCTGAGTTAAATGCCTGTCTATGAAGAACTAGTTACGTTTGGGTAAGTGTGGGGGTTAAAGCTGACCTTTGTTACCTTTTGATTTGTTCAGGTCAAAGTTAACAATTCAAGTCTTTCAGCAGAACATGCAGAACGCCAGACTTTGGTAGAGTTTTTCTACAAGTGTATGGATAGAAACAAAACTTAACTACCACGTTAGAACCTTGAAGCTGCTCTGGAACATGGAACAAAAATGGAAATTCGATGACGGACTTCTTGATGGACTTCTTGTTCTCCAGGCCTCAGTTCATGTCCTGCTGCTGTTAAGAACTGTCTGAGTCGCTTTAGTCCGTTACTACTGAAAAAACATCAACCCTCTTCATTGAACTGCTGCTGCATCATGGTGTGGCGTGTACTTGGGAGTATTTTTGTAGATATGACATGAATAAAAACGGAGTATTTTTGTAGATATGACATGAATTAAAAACATTATGTTTGAATAAGTTCTCTGTGAATTCTTTAGAAGAAGGTTTTTGGTCTTTCTCTGGTTTTTGTTTCTTTTCTTTTTTTCAGTCAAACTTGTTTCCAATGGACTGGTGATGATGATGGTGATAATGCAGGTTGACGATTGTGAGGAGGATGATGGTGATGATGAAAAGGAAGCGGACTTCGGTCCGGAAGGCCCCAGGTTCGAATCCACCAACTGCCAGGTTGCCACTGAGATGCACTGAGCATGGCATCGTCCTCAAGCACTGCTCCCCGGGCGCCGACCATGGCTGCCCACTGTTCACTTGGTGATGGGTTAAATGCAGAGGTTAAATTTCGTTGTGCATGGTGTGCTGTGCTGTGCTGTGTCACAATGACAAATAAAGATAAGTTTAGTTTAATGCTGGTTGACGATTGTGAGGAGGATGATGGTGATGATGTTGGTGATGTAATCGTGATGATGATGTTGGTGATAATGATGGTGACGATAGTGAGGAGGATGGTGATGTTGAGGTGTTGATGATGATGATGATGACGATCTTTCACTGCTGTTGTGCGCAATTAAAGACAAACATTTGCATTTAAGAATCCTGTTTTTTTTCTCCTTCAGTCGTGACTGATCAGAAACATTTAAACTCACCTCAGTCACATCAGTTCACGGTGTTGTTCTTTGGATGAGACTCTCTGAGGTCCAATGAAATATGGCACGCTGGACATAAGTGCACTACTGCTGTAATTCTTGAGTCATAACAAGCCTCCAGTCACTAGGTGGCAGCAACTCATACAGTGGTTTGTACAGATAAAAATATACACGTTATCAGGTTCTAGATAGTATTTCAATTTGCAGGGATGTAAGTTGGGAGGGCGTGAACACATTTTTGTCCCAAAGGGGGGAGCATGACAGAAAATAATTGAAAACCACTGGATACAAATGAACGTATGTGTGTGTGCATTGTTGATCCATGTTTGAGATCAGAACTGAGGACAGCCTAAGCATTAGTTTATATAATACAGAATTCTGGAATTTCACAGATGGGGACTCCAGTCCGAGAGTTACACTTTATTATTGTTGTTTATTTGATAGTAAAAAAAAAAGCCATAAAAGCTTAAAACTGTAACAATGAGAAGTCTGATCTGTAGTGAAATATACTCAGGGGAAAAAAAATATTTAATTTAAGTTAATCTGCATCAGTGGTCGAATACACACACACACACACAAATACTGATGGAGTGATTCCATCATTAATCCTATTACAGATGCAGTTTGAGGATTAACGTCTGCAGACAGATGGTTCAGACTCCAAACATAATCCCAAATCCTTTTTACAGAATCGGACGAGTGTGTGTTTTTCTCAGGTTTACCTCAGGGTGGGATAGTTGTGTATCTCTGTGTGTGTGTGTGTGTGTGTTTCAGGCTTTATTTCTTGCCTGCAGCTGTTTCTCTCAGTAGAAACCTCCTGCGTTGGTAGAGGAGTTCCATCAAAAACCGGTGAAAAAAACCTCAGTCAGTTCTCGTTGTTCTGGTCGTGTTTTATTGACTTTCCTGGACATGTTGTGTTGATAAACAACAGGGGGCAACAGTGAGATTTATAGTTCTATAAAAACCTCGGATTTTAAAGTCGGAATAAGAAACAAAATAAGAAACATTTATTTTTTTGGTTCCTGATACCCTGGCCGGACTTTCATTTATTTAAGTTTGTCATTTTGGTGCTTTTACTTTTTTAAAAATAATAATTACTTCCCTGGTCCAAACCCATGTCTGTAGCGTTCTTTCAATGAAGGGGACAACAAGAGTCCTCCTCCTCCTTCTTTCTTCTTCTTCTTCTTCTTCTTCTTCTTCTTCTTCTTCTTCTTCTCGCTTGCTGCATCACAAATTTAATTATTTCATGAAGGTTGAGTGAGAAACACATCAGAAATCACCGCTGTTTCCATCCCACTGTGCATGCCTACACACAGAGTCGGTCTGTACTTTGATTTGTGATCACTACGCATCAATACCTAGTGTCCTTTTGTAGCCGCTTTAAGCTGAAACTCTGAACATAACCTGGTCATTTTGAGGCCCTACTGTATATGCTACACCTGTAAGGGGGAGGAGCTAAGAGAGGCTACCTGAGCTGCGTCTACAACCTTCCCTACATAAGTGTAAGTTACCATGGCGATCTTGCCAGGTTAAAAGAGAGAGCCACCTTTTTAGCACAGAAGAGCCTGGCTTTAAACTCAACATACCTTGTTAAGGCACTAAGCTCGCGTTGCAGTACACCCCTGCGGTACTTCATCAATCACAGCTGACACTCGTCTCCATCAACTCCACTCTACCAGTATTTTATATTATGAACAGCTCTGAACCGTAGATCTACAGAGGGTTCTGCTCCAGGACAGAGGCTCAAGCTGATGTCCGGCGTCTTCTGTCTGCGTATCATCAGGGTTGATGTTGTGAGTGTGTGTAAATGCTCTGTGAGTGCATGAATAGCTAAGCAGCAGCTCTGCTCCTGCTTCCTCCTCAACTGGAAATAATCAATCAAACACATGGAGTTATTTTTAGACGTGGATCAATTGGTCAGTGTTGTGTTGTGAGAAAATGTACGTGTGTGTGTGTGGGTGTCTTCTAAGAAGCTCCAGAATCTTCTGTTTGACTTCTGATGAGACTGTGAATTTTACTGGTTCATTATTCAGACTCTCTGTTTGTATTTCAGTGCCTTGGTTTGTTTTGATTCATGTGAAATAAGGCTTAGGACTGTCTCCACTTTTCCCATCAGCCCCTGTGTCTGATGCTTCACTGACTCTGTTTCTTCACATATTTGTACAGATATGAAGGAAAATTCAAATCTTTTGTGGCAATTAATCAGAACAGGATTCTCCTGGTCCAGTTCAGAGCAGAGATTTAACTGTCATTTGCACTGACAGTTCAGCTGCTGACCTGCAACCAAAAATAAATCAAACAAAATGACCAATTTTAATAACCAGCTGAACTCACAGTCTTATTGAAATGACACTTTTTATGCATAAAAAGCTTAACTTTTATAAAATGTTTTTAAGTGCGCTGTATATTGTATTTGAATGCTAGTTATTTTGATGCTATATTATTTTAATTTATTCCTAAGATTAACATAGATAGATTGCCATCCCTTTGATATTACTTTTTCAAATTATATGAATTTAAATATTTTTCAAAACGATTGGGTTGCAATTTGATTTGTTTATTTCTCGTTGATTTTTTCCCCCTAAAATTTCAAATCAACCACAACTGGATTAAAAAATGAGAGGAAGAGTTCAGAAAGTATACTTTTTTTTTTTCAATTCTTTTTTTTCTTTATCTGTTCCCATCTGGATATAAATATAGATCTTAATTAATTGCGTCTTGAATTGACGTCCTCCTGCGCACTGATTGGCTGTGCGCTGTTACGTCACTTCCTGGCAGAGGACAGTTCGAGTCGCTGTTGATCAGTTACCTCCAAGCATCTGTGGAGGAGAGACGAGCTGCTGAGGAGAGGAGGTCGTGGACCTGCAGCTGTGCTCCTCCTTCACACTGTAGCTATTGGGAATAAAAACACAGGAAAAACTACAGCCGAGAGGAAACGTCACCTGGTTCCGGAACCACTTCGGACAAAAGAACCTGCTAGAATTCCAGAGAAGTTGGTGTCGATTTTCTAGAACGAAAACTCAGTCAAGCTGAATTTCAACTCCGAGGACTCAGGGCTGGAATTTACAAAAACCGAAGTAACTTTTTTCTTTTTTTTTAGATGTTCTTTTGCATTTTCCCTATTTCATTATTAACTGCCGCCGGCTGCAGGTGGTTTTTTTTCCCCCTCGGCCGCAGCGGCGCAGGCGGTGACGCTGACGCGGACACCAGAGCCGAGGCAGCCGCGGGCGGTGGCCCCCCCCCCCCCCG